GCGAGGCAACTCGCAAACGGAAAAACCTTTCGTCTAGCGAGTTTTTTGTCTTGCGAGGCATTTGTCTTGCGAGGTACCACTGTATAGGGGTGTGTATAGGGGTGTTTTTTGTGTTTCAGGCAGCCTGCAGTTCAACAGGCAACTTCTAGAGTGGCAGTATGACATACAGTGGTACTTTGGTTCTTGAATGGCTTAGTTGTCAAACAAATTGTCTCCCAAATACCACAAACCCGGAAGTAAGTGTTCCGGTTTGTGAACGGTTTTTGGAAGCTGAACATCCGACGCAGCTTCCACTTGAGCACAGGAAGCTCCTGCAGCCAATCAGAAACTGCGCCTTGGTTTTCGAACAGTTTCGGGAGTCGAACGGACTCCTGGAACAGATGAAGTTCAAGAACCAAGATACCACTGTAATACACATCCATATTTCAGCTGAGGTATTTAAGTTCTGTATGTTAACTATGCTGTGGCACCACTGTGTAATTCATCCTTGGAGATAGCCACTCTCCCTTTTTCCATTGGTCAGTAACCTTGAAGCTTGTTTTTCAGACAAGGATGGACTGCTGCTCTCCAACAAGTTTGCATCTAAACATTGATTTCTCCGTCCTTCTTGTGTGGTTGGCATTCACTTTTCTGCTCTCTCCTGGAGCCCTAGTGAAGCATCTGTCTGCCTGCCATGCCCAATAGAGTACCTTTGCTGAAAAATCCTCCCCTCAACTGCTTAAGATAGCTACTATAATTAAAAGCTTCTAGTATTGTCCGGCTAGCTATATCTTTATTCATACAGTACATGGTACCTCGGGTTACATACGCTTCAGGTTACAGACTCCGCTAACCCAGAAATAGTGCTTCAGGTTAAGAACTTTGCTTCAGGATAAGAACAGAAATCGTGCTCTGGCGGCGCAGCAGCAGCAAGAGGCCCCATTAGCTAAAGTGGTGCTTCAGGTTAAGAACAGTTTCAGGTTAAGAACGGACCTCCGGAATGAATTAAGTACTTAACCCGAGGTACCACTGTACAGAGGAGCTTCAGTGCTAGCATATTTAATGGATAACTTGAGATGCAAGCCATGCTTTTCTCTGAGATGGAAAGAGGAGTGTGTCTTTGTAGGAGGCAGAAACTTGTTTCATATGTAGATATTCATAAAGTTGGAGCATGAAGAAATATTTCATACAGAAGGGCCCAAAATCGAGCAAGGTTCCTCCATCTGATTTCAGGCAGTTTCCCCCTTACACTGCAGTTCCATGTTCAGGATCCCACCACCACCACCACCACAAAGAAAAAACAACCTCTGGAGAGGGGAGGGGAGAGGAAAGCTTGTTTGCGCAAGCTGCCTTCCTCTCACGCAACCACTGCATACAACACAGTATTTTTAGCATCTAATATCTCCAGAATGAGGAAGCTGTCTCCAATACTGCCTATTAACACGAGGCTATAAATGTTAATAATGGAGGGGGGGACGCAGGCAGGCAGACAGGCAAATGGTGGTGTCCTTCAATCTAACTGGGCAAAAATGGTTAGGATAATTGTGTAGATTTGTGCAAAGAGCTGAACTGGGAACATGTACACACCCTCTCTGATGGGTGTTAGTTACGAATAATTATGGGTACTTGGTTGGCATAAATATTGTCTTTTGAAAAATCGGTATCCTTTCCTGAGTTTATACCTGTTTTTTGTAGGCTTCTTCGTTTCTCAGATCCTTACTATGCAACTTGGTTCTACTCCAAACACAAGGGGAAATGAATTATAGCAGTTGTAACAGTGTAGAGCAGATGTTTTGGTTGGACTGGCTATTAGCACTGTGACTCATCATAAATCCTCAGTTCCAGTAAGTTCCCAGTTTTTAGTTACAGTAGGTAGAAGGATGCAGGAAAACAATGTGTTCGTGCATTGTGCTTTGAATGTGTTTGGGCATTAGTTACCAGGAATCTATTTTTTAAAAGGTTACTCTGTTGTTTAATGGCTTACATGGTCAAATAAAAAACAAATTGTGAAAGGTATCCTGAAACCTACATCACTACAAGGAATAAGAACTAGTACATCGTTTAAACGATCCTAATGGATAAAACACAAAATTCAGTCAAGAGAATTTTAGCATACTATACGTTACGGGGAAATGATTACTTTAAAAATGCATTGTCATTAAATTATTTGTTTTTAAAAGAAACCTATACCCCCCATCACTGCAATATGCACATGAGGCATTTTACAAATACAAGTAAAAACAATATCAAAATCTCTGCAGAACAAATTGTGTGAGAGTTTTATGGTGAATGAAATGGTTTGTTGTTGTTTTTAAAATAGTTGTATGTTCTAAGCATCCTCCCCCCCCTTAAAATCTGTGATCTTCAAAACTGGGAACAGTGGCTTTTTCTGAACTAGGAACAGTGGCAGGGAATTTTGAGCAGTGTGTATCAACACAGCTTGTTCACAGTATAAACCATAAAGGTAAAGGTAAAGGGACCCCTGACCATTAGGTCCAGTCGTGGCCGACTCTGGGGTTGCGGCGCTCATCTCGCTTTATTGGCCGAGGGAGCCGGCGTACAGCTTCCGGGTCATGTGGCCAGCATGACTAAGCCGCTTCTGGCGAACCAGAGCAGCGCACGGAAACACCGTTTACCTTCCCGCCGGAGCGGTACCTATTTATCTACTTGCACTGGTGTGTTTTCGAACTGCTAGGTTGGCAGGAGCAGGGACCGAGCAACGGGAGCTCACCCTGTTGCGGGGATTCGAACCGCCGACCTTGTGATCGGCAAGTCCCAGGCTCTGTGGTTTAACCCACAGCACCACCCGTGTCCTTGTATAAACCATAGTGCCCCATAAATCGGTTCTGGGCTTCCCCCCATCCTCTGATTTAGTATGAATGAGTAGTGTGATCATACACTTAAAGAAGAGGGAGAGAGTCTATCAGACTAGGGGGGAGTTCTGTAAAAGTTGTGCCAACACTGAGATGACCCTGTTCCTGGATCCTACCAACTGTCCTTTCAGTGTGGGCAGTGAGTAAGCTGAGTGAGGGCAGTGAGTGAGCTGAGACTTTGATCAAGTGGATTTATATGGGTGAAGGCAGCCCATCAGGGTGTGGTTAACTTAAACTGGGCCTGTATACTAATAGGTAACCAGTGCCTTTGGTATAGAATCTTTGTGCTCCAGTTGCCACAGCCTGTTCAACATCCTGACAAGCCACTTTTTGTACCAGTTATCATTTCTGAACTGTCCTTGAAGGCAGCCCTGCATAGAAAGTGTTGCAATAGTCCATTCTGAGCGCGGTTAAACCACTAGGACATCGACTACCAATGTCAGATCTGCTTTCTTTGGTAAGTGCACTCTGCCTAGAGAAAGTGCAGTTAAGTGTGCAAAACAATACATACGCAGCCCTGGGCTCCCCGATGTCTTGGGGTGTCCCGTCCCCCCAGCAGATGCGGAGTAGACAGTGACAATGAAAAAACAGACATGCATATAGAAGTGACTCAGTATTATAAGCAGGCCTGCATGACCTTCAGCTCTTGTTCAGGCATGCTACAAATTCTTCCTGCAAGTGTCATCTGTGATACCTCTGGCTTGGTTTACCCCCCATAGGGTATTTCTCTTTCAAGTTGCGGTAATTAGAAAAAGGATTCCATCACGCTTACATAGTTGTATTGTTATCTCTTTACCAAATAAATAATTAAGTATATATATATTTATCACAGTATTTATATACCCCCCTCTTGCAAAGCTTCAGGGGCATATAAACATTTAGGAGTAATACAAATACCCTACTGAATTATGGAAATAGAACAAACTGATTTATTCCCAAATTAAGACCATTGCTGCATCTAGCCCAGTACTAGGCCACAACTCTCCTGGATTTCAGACTTTCCCAGTCTTTCTACCAGTGAATGAACCTGATTACATTCCGCATGCAGAGCATGTGCTCTACTTCTGAGCCATGGGACTTTTTGCCAGAATATTTATTCTCTGGGAGGTTAGCAACACTGGAAAGAGATATTGCTTGGTTGCTCACGAGCCCTCTTACAACTTTTAAAACAAAAACAGAGAAGGTCAAGCTGATTGAAACAACTGGAGAACTACATTTTTCAAATTTTGGGAGGGTCAGCAGAATAGGCCATGCACATGGCCAAATTTGGCATCTAAAAAGGTAAAGGTACCCCTGCCCATACGGGCCAGTCTTGACAGACTCTAGGGTTGTGCGCCCATCTCACTCTATAGGCCGGGGGCCAGCGCTGTCCGGAGACACTTCCGGGTCACGTGGCCAGCGTGACAAGCTGCATCTGGCGAGCCAGCGCAGCACATGGAACGCCGTTTACCTTCCCGCTAGTACGCGGTCCCTATTTATCTACTTGCACCCGGGGTGCTTTCGAACTGCTAGGTTGGCAGGCGCTGGGACCGAGCAGCGGGAGCGCACCCCGCCGCGGGGATTCGAACCGCCGACCTTTCGATCGGCAAGTCCTAGGCGCTGAGGCTTTAACCCACAGCGCCACCCGCATCCCATCAAATTTGGCATCTAGGAAACCATAAATTCACTTCCCTAATTTTAAAAATAATCTTGCATTCATAGTTGTGAAGGGCAAATTGAAATGGTGGCAGCAAAATGTCTCAAGATTACAAATCATGAAGCAAAGAATCAACCCATATTCCTTGTTTGTTACAGTTATAAAAATTTTATTATTATTAAGAGCTGAGTTGAGTTTTGAGGGCAACAATTTCTGCAGAAGAATATTGTGACATGCCCACTAGCAGTAATTTGACATCTGCCATGTTCATAGCAATGACATGTAATTTATGTCGACCACATGCACCTAAAATATGCAGATTTGTCCCTGCTAATGTTCTGTTTTCCAGTGTGCCCCTCAGTGCTGAGCAAGTTGTCTCTCCACATTTTTTTTAATGGGTTGCACTTGCAGACTGCAAACCTCTTGAACAGGCCTTGAACTCTCTCCCATTATTGAGCTTATGTCTACTTTCAGTCTGAAGTTGTTTTCTTTTTGTGTGTGTTTGTTTGTAGGATGCAAATGAAGACCCCGGGGAAGATGTTGCTCTTCTTTCCGTCAGCTTTGAGGATACAGAAGCTACTCAAGTTTTCCCCAAACTGTATCTGTCTCCACGAATCGAACAGTAAGTGCAGCACCTCATATATGATATTCCTGTTCTCATAACATTTAATTATACCACTTGCTGTTCATGCAGGAAGTTTTGGGGGGCATCAAACCTCTCTGACTTTTAATTGACAAAAGCCAAGATTATGATTGTAAGTGGCTATGCTGGTAAAGCCTTGCAGTTTCCCATGCCAGATCCATCCTTAAGTATATGATACTATTAGAGCTGAGCCAGCACTGGCAGTATTGCAAGCAGCTTGTAGCTTCCTGAAATGGTATTGGTTGAAGGTTCCATCTTTTCCCTCTTTATTCCATTGACCACGCCCCCCCCCAACCAAGGGGATTTATGGTGCAGAGATTTTTCTCAGATTTTTTTCCATTACGGAAAAAAATTAAAACACCAGTGACAGGCTGATCATAGAATCACAGAATTGTCGAGTTAGAAGGGACCACAAGGGTCATCTTGTCCAGCCCACTGCAATGCAGGAATACTTTGCCCAACGTGGATCTCGAACCCACATCCTTGAGATTAAGAGTCTCATGCTCTACTGCCTGAGCTATCCACTGCTTGTATGTCAGTCATCTGGTCAGTCAACGCACTATCCCAGTAGCAACTTTGACAGAATAGTACATGAAAAAACAGCAGTGAATAACCATAGCAAATGGCACAACTCACCAATGGTTCTAGCACCTATTAAAAATGAAATAAAGTAATTAAATGCTACCATTCAGCAATGTCACAGCTGCATGAGTGACAGCCCCAACTCATGCCTTCGCCCAAGTTGGGTGTCTTGTTAACCCTTTCATTGTGTTTTCCTATGCAGTGAATTTACATTCTTGCAACGTGTTTCAGCTGTAGCTAGTGGATATTTTTATTGAGAGGCATAAATCAAAGTGTCTGGAACTCTTTGGCTGTTGTGCTAGCTTGTGATCTCTGAATCTCAACTACTGTGGGAAAGGGGTCAGAGTGATGTGAACCAGGAAGTGATGCTTGTTTCCCTGCCGCAGCCTCTGTATGCCTGGTGCTGCATCATTATTACATTGTGAGTAAGTCAGTAGCCAATCTTCCAACCTGTGTAGTCAGGAGTGAGGAATGCAATGCAACAAGCTTCATTCTGCAAATGGACAGAGCACTGGTTAAATTTAATTCTCACCTTTTTAATGCAGCATTTAACAGGGAATAGGATCAAGCTATCAAATAATTTTGTTATATGTTGTTGTTGAATAGCATTCCCCCTAAACTATGCCCTATGAGAATAGAAAAAGGCTTCTTCAGATTAAGCGGTATTTAGGCAAGCTGTAAGAATGCTTTTCTTAAAGTGCAGTTGGGAATCTGTGGTCTAAAAAGCTATTTTGACCAAGCACATGAAGGAACATTTTACTTGAAAGTTACTGTGCAATACATTAAGCAGACTTGCTAATAAACTAATTTTGCTCCTAAAATGGAAGCATTGGAAGTGGTGGGGAAAATCCACCTCCTTCATTAGTTCTCTCTTCTTCCATTTTTGGAGCTGAGTGCATCTCTGTTCCTTTTCCAGCCCCCCCCCCCCCGCACTTTGTACTTCAGTCTTGAAAGGTCTGCTTCAGAGCTTCAGGCTTAAATGTACTTTACCTTAGAGATAAGAATCCGTGGGAAAACCTCTTGTTTTGCTTTACGTCTTAACAGATGAAGGCTTCCAAAGAGAAAGTTACAAGTTGTTAACCTGAAAGAAAGCCTCAAAGGCTTTAAAGGTTTCTAGTGTCCTTAAATGGATGCGGTATCTAAGGTGGAAGACCTGCTTCTTCAAATACCTAGTCTAGACATAGTTACAGGTAGGTAGCCGTGTTGGTCTGCCGTAGTTGAAGCAAAATTTAAAAATCCCTTCCAGTAGCACCTTAGAGACCAACTAAGTTTGTTACTGGTACTGGGACCGATTCGGATGGTCCGCCCCCGCTACTTAATGGATCCAATTGGCTTCCAGAGAGTGGTAGGGGATGTTTTATCCCAAGTTGATGGCCTTTCAGCTGATTCCCTGGTGGCCCGCTGGAATGCGGAGTTAACCAGGGCTATTGACTGTCTGGCTCCGAAGCGCCCTCTCCGATTGCATGGAGCCCGGACAGCCCCGTGGTTTTCCCCGGAGCTGAGGGTGATGAAACAATCGTTGAGACGGCTAGAGCGCCGGTGGCGGAAAACTCATTCTGAATCAGACCGGACACGGGCTAGAGCTCAACGTCGAGCCTACCAAGTGGCAATGGCGACGGCAAAGAGGGCCTTCTTCACCGCCTCCATTGCATCTGCAGAAAACAGCAGCAGGAGACTTTTTCAGGTAGTTCGCAATCTATCGGAACCACCTGCACCACCGGGGCCTGGTAGGGACCCCAAGATCTCCTGCAATGCTTTTGCAAAGTTTTTTGCAGATAAAGTCGCTCAGATTCAGAAGGAGGTAGACTCCACCGTGGGAGCAGGGCCAGGGTGGGAGAGTGCTAGAGTTCTGTCTGGTCCTGTTACATGGGATCAATTCCAATCTGTTACCTCCAAGGATGTAGACAGGCTGCTTGGACAAGTGAAACCGACCACCTGTCTCCTGGATCCTTGCCCATCCTGGCTGATAAAAGCGAGCCGGGAAGGGCTGGGCGATGGGCTCTGCGGGGTGGTGAATGCTTCCCTCTATGAGGGAGCCTTCCCAGACCCGCTGAAAGAGGCGGTCATTAAACCGCTTCTTAAAAAAACATCTTTAGACCCAGCCAATTTGGCCAACTATCGCCCGGTCTCAAATTTACCATTCTTGGGCAAGGTGATTGAGCGGGTGGTTGCCAGACAACTCCAAGCACGCCTGGAGGATGCGGACCATTTGGATCCCTTCCAATCGGGATTCAGGCCTCACCATGGGACTGAAACTGCCTTGGTCGCGCTGGTTGATGATCTCCGGCGGGCTAGGGACAAAGGTGAGAGCTGTTTCCTAGTTCTGCTGGATCTCTCAGCGGCCTTTGACACCATCGACCATAACATCCTTCTGGACCGTCTAGAGGGGCTGGGAGCTGGGGGCACTGTTATACGGTGGTTCCGCTCCTTTCTCCTGGGCCGTGTCCAGAAAGTGGTGGTGGGGGATGAGTGTTCAGACCCCTGGGCTCTCACTTGTGGGGTGCCTCAGGGTTCCGTCCTCTCCCCCATGCTTTTTAATATCTATATGAAGCCGCTGGGAGAGATCATCAGGGGGTTTGGGCTGGGTGTTCATCAGTATGCAGATGACACCCAGCTCTACCTCTCCTTTAAATCAGAACCAGTGAAGGCGGTGAAGGTCCTGTGTGAGTGCCTGGAGGCTGTTGGAGGATGGATGGCGGCTAACAGATTGAGGCTGAATCCTGACAAGACAGAAGTACTGTTTTTGGGGGACAGGGGGCGGGCAGGTGTGGGGGATTCCCTGGTCCTGAATGGGGTAACTGTGCCCCTGAAGGACCAGGTGCACAGCCTGGGAGTCATTTTGGACTCACAGCTGTCCATGGAGGCACAGGTTAATTCTGTGTCCAGGGCAGCTGTCTACCAGCTCCACCTGGTACGCAGGCTAAGACCCTACCTGCCCGCAGACTGTCTTGCCAGAGTGGTGCATGCTCTAGTTATCTCCTGCTTGGACTACTGCAACGCGCTCTACGTGGGGCTACCTTTGAAGGTGACCCGGAAACTGCAATTAATCCAGAATGCGGCCGCTAGACTGGTGACTGGGAGTGGCCGCCGGGACCACATAACACCAGTTCTGAGAGATCTGCATTGGCTCCCAGTACGTTTCCGAGCACAATTCAAAGTGTTGGTGCTGACCTTTAAAGCCCTAAACGGCCTCGGTCCAGTATATCTGAAGGAGCGTCTCCACCCCCATCGTTCAGCCCGGACACTGAGATCCAGCGCCGAGGGCCTTCTGGCGATTCCCTCATTGCGAGAAGTAAGGTTACAGGGAACCAGGCAGAGGGCCTTCTCGGTAGTGGCTCCTGCCCTGTGGAACGCCCTCCCAGCAGATGTCAAAGCAATAAACAACTATTTTACTTTTAAAAGTCATCTGAAGGCAGCCCTCTTTAGGGAAGTTTTTAATGTTTGATGCTGTACTGTTTTTAATATTCAGTTGGAAGCCGCCCAGAGTGGCTGGGGAAACCCAGCCAGATGGGCAGGGTATAAATAAATTATTATTATTATTATTATTATTATTATTATTATTATTATTATTATTATTATGAGCTTCCATGTGCATGCATACCAATACCAAATTTAGTTGGTCTCTAAGGTGCTACTGGAATGATTTATTTATTTTTAATTTATTTTTTAGTCTAGACAGTGTAGGATATTGAAAGAAAGAAATGGTCTCAGGTAACTGATTGGACAAATACATCCTCCATAGGTTTGTTTTTATTATAGATGTTAAATGTGCATACACTTGGATTGTGAACGCCTATGGGACACAGTGCCAAGTAATTTGCAAAAGAAGAAAGTGTAATTAGACAGGATTAATTTTTGATTAGGATTAATACTGATCATAACTGAAGGAGGCTTTGGGGCTTGGCAGTATTGCTGGACCTAGCTTTGAGTGGCCACTGTAGCCAGGTATTCTCCTTCCCCCAAAAAGCACTTTGAGTGGTATATTGTGGTATATTCATAGTGTCTGCTTGAGAAATATGTGTGCCTGCCTACCACGGTCCAGTAGCCTAGTTGCAAGGCATCCTTAATAGTCTACCTTTGAACAATGTCCAGGATGCTGACTACATTGTTGACTGGCTACAGCTTAGGACAACATACCTCCAACTCACAAATGACTGCTCTGGTTACCAGAGTTTCCAGAGCCAATTCAGAGTATTGGTTTTAGCCATTCAAGGCCTAAGTGGTTTGGACCTCAGATATTTGGAGGAACTCCACCTTCTCTGTACACCTCTGTGTGCATTAAGTTCTGCATTACTGCAGACCAGCATAAGTAAAAATGTAATCAGTGAGCTTAATCAGTCATAAGGAATGTTTCTCAAAAGCTGCTATTTTCATTGAGAGGATAGGATACATAGCAT